TTGTCTGAGGTCGAGAAGACACGCGGAGGTGTAGATGGCATCTCCCTTGAGTTTCGAATAATAATGGCAGTTAGTCAAAACAAGGGGTGTTAAAATCACCCATGAGAATAACCCGAAAATTTTGTGTGTCCAAATTGTTTTCTAGAAATCGAAAGTAATTAGCAACAACTTCAGGTTTAGCATCAGGTGGAAAGTAATGGTTGCCAATGAGTAATTTAGACCATCAAAAGTGGGGATTTCAACCCATACACATTCTTCGAAAGATTCTAAGTCGTGCCTGCGTTTACAGGCACTTACTCCAGGGGATAAAGCTATTAACACTCCACCTCCACGCGTCTTATTTGTGCATATTCTGTCAGAACGGAAAACAGTGTAACCATCCGGAAATAAATTGTGATCGTAACACGAGTCGTTTAGCCATGTCTCAGTTAAACATAAGATACTATGACCAGAGGACCAGACGCTATCGTAGAATTCGAGTTGCTTGGTTCTGAGACCTCTGACGTTTTGGTAATAAATGTCTAAAGAATTTAAATGCTGTTTTCTAGTAGACATGGAAAAACCACCCGTGCTGACATCACCGGTGCAAGCCATTTATCTGAGTGAAGTATAATAAATATAACTTATCATAATGAAGCAGAACTTACCAGGAAATCGATTGCTCTCATCAGATGCGCTACTATTCAGACTACTGCTTGAGCCACCCATGCGTTCCTTGTCAGGCTGCTCTAGGCGTATTGGTGACGCATTCCGTCGGATTGTGTCCTCAATTAGCTGTTTGGCATGGCTGTAACATGAAATATCATGGGCATACACAAAATCCAATGCATAATCTGGTCCTCGGTACAAGACACTTGTTAAACGTTTTTCATCAGTTTTAGGCAGACAAATCAAAACTTGAACCTTAAACTCAAATCACCAACATAATATTAAATTTCATTACACAAAATACAGGTGTTTAAAAAGTCTCCATGGTGTCTTTAAAATACACAAACACTGGGGAAATAAAGGACAAGAAGATGCAGAGACCAAATGAGGGAAGATGATGAAAGTGGAACAGGGAAAAAGTTTCCACAGATACAAGAAAAAGACAGAGAATAATACAAAAGGTTATGTAATGGAATTACCAACTTTGACAGAAACATCTTCACCATAACCAAAGGAACTGATTTTAAGTAGTGATATTTAAATGCAGTTAAATTTCACTATTCTAATCACAAATATGTGAATAGTATTACATCTATTGTCAAAAGTAAAATATGTTCCTCTTGAAACATTGCTACTTACTTAATCTTTTCTTCACTTGGGCCAGTTATCTGTACCAGGCGTTCCTTCGCTCCCGGATTTACTGGATAAAACCAATCAGAGAAAAAACACAACAATTACTAGGAATCATCACCTTTAACAAGAATGAGCAATATGTATCTGTACACACAAAAATGTTATTTATCAGCTGTGTGCAATAGACAGATTACCATATTTACCAGTGTATGAAAAGCATGCATTATTTTTGGATTTCAAAATTTAAAAATGTAGTACCATATAACTGCATGCATTATTTTTGGATTTAAAAATTTAAAAATGTAGTACCATATAACACTTTTCGACATAACTTAAACGTAGGTAATGAAAAAAATATGTTGTATAAGATGTCTGAATAGTAGGCGGACAGAGACAGCATTCACTGATGCAGGCAATATTTTGTAACAAAACTTGACTCTGAAGTGAATTTCAAATCTCTCAGTAATTCATATCGCATTAGGGCCCATCTGACCAATCAATAAATTAGTAGCTGCGCGCAGAACATTGGCAGTACAAACCTACCACAATTTGTCGCTCTCTGCTAATGATCATCAACATAACCTAATGAGAATCTAAACCAGAAGTAAAGCAATACCATATAATAATTTATTTGGATTTTAATGTTTCATAGTTCTTCACGGTCATTAGAGGATGAAAGAAAATCGGATGGAAATTTATATTCTGTGAATTTACTTTTCATTAATTAGGTTAATGGGTTTAAACACAGATAGTGTGGCACTCACCATGTGCTCAGCACACTTAGGCTTTAACAACACTGTTACATAACACAAAAAACTGCCCCAATTGTTCTCATCGCATTTTTTACTATGGGAATGTGAAATTCGTGAAATGGACAAACACATATTTTGAAACAGTCAAAATTATAGCGTGACTGTTTGCAGTTCTATTGTGACAGTAACAGAAAATGTAAATTTTGTAACTGGAAGTGGACACACAACAATACATTTAATGATGCGCAAAACATGGGCTACTTGCTTTCTCCCTCAAATGCTTTGTGACCCTAATTTTAGGAAAGAAATTATAAAACAAATAAGTTATACATGGGTAAATACGGTAATATTTTATGAATTGCGAAGTCTGCATGAAATATAATGCATGTGGTAAAAGAGTTCATGCAGTGACAGACCTGAAATTCAAAGCAAGGAATTGCTTGTTAACATTCTCTCCATGCTGGGCAGAATTCAGGATAAATGTGCACAACTTCAAAGAAAATTATTTTTGCAGAGATGGCTGTCTGCAAAACCTGATTTTAATACTGGGTAAACTGTCTCTTCTACATCAAACATATGTGAATTCAAGCTTAATTCAAATTTCCAACTAAACTATCTCCATGGAGCAGTCCTTCTTAAGCTGCAAGTACACTCAGCTAGTCAAAAAAATTCACTGCCTTTCATGGAACCTGAGGTTCATTACAGTGTTCACAACAGCATGCTGTAAGTCCCTCTCCTGAGTCCAAACCCCCCTACACTACTTTTCTAAGATCCATTTTAATATTATCATACCATGTATACAACAGTAATAAAAGACTTGAGATGTATTGAAAATATGATAATTACTTTATGACTGTGTATTTGCTGTTGAAGTTATGCAGTGTCAAACTTAATACAGTAAAAAGGTTGTGACTGACAAATCAGATGGCATGTAGTAGGAAGAA